ATGACCAGGCATGTCCAGACACACATAAACACTTGCATGCACATGCACACGCATGCCTGTAAACCTCGCCAAAGCCAGAGCACAAACAAGCAAAGCTGGAGAGGGAGTTGAGTAGAGAATGTTGGTGATTAAAATAAATATTTTACAATAAAATAGGATTTCAAAGCATTTTCCAAATAGTAATAATAATACTGTTTATCTTTATAACTTACAAAATTTGGAGTTAGGAAGGAACCCCAGAGCTCTTTAGAGGCTGGGTGGCTTGCCTAAAGACAGCCAGGGAGAGTGCCAAGGGAAACAAAGACTCTTCCTTGGTCCCCAGGCAGGAACCACACATAGTCTCAAGATCAGAGGTGCAGGACATATGGGTGGCAGGCAGGGCATAGAAAGTTTGAAAGTCCAGGACATAAAATAAAACAAAATCGCTACACATCTGGTTATGACTGCTCCAATGAACTTACAAAAGAACTAGACCAGAATATCATTCTCTGGGGTGGTGCCTGGAAACATTTTTATTTAAAACTTCTAAAACAGCACTCAGCTTACCAGTCAAGTAAATAGGCCACCAGAACAAAGGAAAAAGACAAAAAGATATGGGAGATCAGAGGAAGGTGAAATATTCCCAGTGGAAGGGCCAGGGAAGGACGCTTGGGGAAGTAGCTTTGAGCTAAGCCTTGCAGGATAGGATGGAGATTGAGGCTAGGGTATGAAGGACACAAGAAACAGTAACAGAAAAAAAGCACAGGGAGGTCAAAAGTGAGCCATTTTTCCAGATATCAGCGTGCCAACGGGAAAATAGAGAGGGATGGAACCATGTCACATATTTTGAATGTCAAGTTCAGGAGTTTGAATTTTAGGCAGTAGAGAAGACCAGGGGGTTTTGAATAAGTGAGGGTCAGCGCCAAGGCATGTGTAACATCGGTCTGGTAGCAGTTTGTAAGAAAGGTTGAAGCAGTAGTATAGAAAAGTAGGCATACCAGGTAGAAGCTAAAAAGTGATGGGGATGTTTAATATGACAGCCTTACAATAATTAGAAACAACCTAATCAAAAAATGGGCCAGAGATGTGAACAAATATTTTATCAGAGTAGCCATACACTTGGCTAGTAAGCACATTAAACAATGCTCCATGCCATTAGTCATTAGGGAAATGAAAATTAAAACCACACTGGAATACCACCTCATACCCACTAGAACAACCATTATCAAAAAGACAATAACAACATTGTTGAGGATGTGGAGAAATGGGAACCCTCGTACATTGCTGGTGGCAATGTAAAATGAAGCAGCCACTTTGGAAAACAATTTGGCAGTTTCTCAAGAAGGTAAATATAAAATGATTGTACCATCCATCAACTCCACGCCTAAGTATCTACCCAAGAGAAAGAAAAACATATGTTCACACAAAGACTTGCACACAAAAGTTCATAGTAGTATTATTTATAAATAGCCAAAAAAGTGGAAACAGCCTAAATGTCCCTCAGCTGGTGAATGGACAGACAAAATGTGGTCGAGGCGGGTGGATTGCTTGAGCTCAGGAGTTCAAGACCAGCCTAAGCAAAAGCGAGACCCTATCTCTACTGAAAACAGAAAAATTAACCAGACGTGGTGGCACTTGCCTATTGTTCCAACTATTCGGGAGGCTGAGGCAGGAGGATCGCCTGAGCCCAGGAGTTTGAGGTTGCTGTGAGCTAGGCTGATGCCACAGCACTCTAGCCCAGGTGACAGAGTGAGACTTAGTCTCAAAAAAAAAAAAAGGAAATATTTGGGAAAGGCATATCCGTAGAGATAGAAAGTAGGTTTGTGGTCGTCTGGGGCTGGAGGTGGGAATGGGGTTTAACCGGCATGGGCATGGGCATGGCATCTTTATTGGGGTGATGAAAATGTTCCGAAACTGATTGATAGTGATGGCTGCACCACTCGGTAAATTTACCAAAACATATTGAACTGTGTACTTGAATAGGGTAAATGTTATCACAGGTAAAATATGTCACTAAAGCTGCTTTTAAAAAGAGATGGGAGTGGCACAAGAGAGGGTGGGAGCGAGTGGTCGTTCGAGAGCCATGGCACTCGGCCAGGGGGCCTGCCGCCTGGGCGCGGGGGAGGGCGGGAGCAGGCAGGGCTGACCGTGGGCATGTGAGCTGGGTGAGGGAGACGGAAATCGCGTCTCCTACGAGAAAAGGGGGATGACCAAGATGTGTTTGATTTAGAAAAGGTACAGTATCTTGGGAAAAGATACCCAAGTAGCTTTTCCCTCTGACGCAAAAGTCCCAGAGTGAGTCAACCGTGTGCCCCTTTGAGGAATCCCAGCACGTCCAGCCAGGATGGATCCTATGGGTCTCTCTTCATGCTGAGCAGAGCGTCTTGGGAGAGTGAACCCCGACACTGGGAAGGGTGTCACAAGACAGGGCTGCCTGGGAGCAGCCACCGAGTCAGACCCTCCAGAGCCAGCTGTGGGCGTGACGGGCAGAGCGGTACATGCAGCCCAAGGGAGCGCTTCGAAGGCCTGGTGGAGACGCGGGAGCCACCCAAGGCCCTGTTCAAGGTAGAGAGGGGTTTGCAGGGCTGTAGGAGTCCAGGAATTCCTGCAGTGCGGGCTTACAGTCAAGACCTATTTTTTAAAGCAGAGCTGTTGTTGCGCACACCAGTGACTGCCGTCTCACAGCTGTGTGCTGCCAGAGGCCTCTGGTGCCCCTCTGAATTGCTAAAGCCTCCACCGTCACTGCAGCAAAACACCCTTGGTCACCTACCCCTTGATGCCCCAGCTGTGCAAGATCTGCTGTCACATCTCCAGCACCCAAAGAAGTCCTCTCGGTTCTAAACCTTCACTAGAAAATTAACAGTTCTGATCTAGTCGTGTTGGGCTCCTTCAGCTCAGGAGTTGGAGATGCAGTGTATCTGGATGGAAGACGCATGGCCTTGGGGGGAAAATAAAGAGATGGGGCGGGCGTGATGGCTCCCGCTTGTAATCCTAACACTCTAGGAAGCTAAGGCGGGAGGATTGCTTGAGCTCAGGAGAGTTCGAGACCAGCCTGAGCAAGAGCAAGACCCAGTCTCTACTATAAATAGAAAGAAATTAGACAACTAAAAACAAAAAAAATTAGCCGGTCGCAGTGGCTCATGCCTGTAATCCTAGCATTCTGAGAGGCTGAGGCAGGCGGATTGCTTGAAATCAGGAGTTCGAAACCAGCCTGAGCAAGAGCAATACCCCATCTCTACTATTAATAGAAAGAAATTAGACAACTAAAAACAGAAAAAATTAGCCGGGCATGGTGGCACATGCCTGTAGTCCTAGCTACTCGGGAGGCTGAGGCAGGAGGATCGCTTGAGCCCAGGAATTTGAGGTTGCTGTGAGCTAGGCTGATGCCAGGGCACTCTAGCCTGGGTGACAGAGTTAGACTCTGTCTCCAAAAAAAAAAAAAAATAGGGGATCGGGTGTTCCTGGATGAGGAACGGCAACTGCTCACAGTTTCTTACAAAAAGACTGAGATGCCGGTCAAGTTGTGATCCTTCTTGTTACTTTTCTAATATTTAAAAAAAATAATCACAAGATGTAAATGTAAAGCCTCATTTAAAAACAGCATAAATAAGTGTCAGGGAATTCAGGAGTTATGGTTTCCACAGCAACATTCATGTGACCACCCAACTACTATGAAATAAAGGAAATTAAGCATTTATGTTGCCCTTGACTTTCAGCCATATGCTAAGCAATCACTTTATTGGTTTATAATTCCTCACAGCCACCTGTGAGGGAGGCAGCCTTCTCACTCCCACGTTAAGGCTGGGGAAACAAAGTCCCAGGAGAATAAAGATCCGCCCAGAGAACCCCCGGCCACAGGACTAGCCAGCTAATCTGACCCGCCCCGTAACCACAGGCTGCAGGGGGAATATCCCTCGCAGGGTTGCGAAAACTAATCATCATCAAATCCTGCTGTGTACCTATTCTGCTAGTGCGTTCTTGCCAAGCCCCTGCCAATGAAGACCAAGTCACAGGCAACTAAAGAAGCAATAATAAAAACCAGAGGGCTCAAAGTTCTGAGTGTGCAAGAAGAGATGAAGAGGGGACGAGAAGAAATACCCTGTGGCCTTGGTTCAACTGTGTTCTCACGTAGCCAGCTTCACTGCCTGCACAGGCCTGAACGTGCACTGAAAGAGAAGGGGGAAGTTCGCCCTGGTTCAGAAGAAGGAGGAGCAGCACATACCTAAGGGCTACAGAAAAGAAGCTGTGCCTCGCAGACCAGATCACCTTCAGGTAGTTTCACTTATTTGACAAATAAAAAGACCCCACCCAAGCCGAGAGAGATTTATTTGATGAAGCTTTTATTGTAGAGAATCTTAGCAAATCTCATCTCTCTGAAGACCATAGGTGCATGGATTAAAAGCACAACCAAAGGCTCCACGCCACAAATTGTGACATGTGGCCCACAGTCCCAAGGCGTGGGGACCTGAGGCCAGTGGTGGCTCTGGCCTCATCTCTCATCTTAACGAAGGATCTTTAAGGAGAAGTAGAGAGCAACAGATGAAATGCAGAGATGAGCTAAATTGAGAGGTGTTGGCAACACTCCTGCAGAAAGTAAAATAAAGTGTGAAAATCAGAGTCTCAAAGGTACCAAAGAATCAAAAGCACAAAGGCAAGCCAAAAACATCAAACTTGCTACATCAAGGAGACAGCTTCTGAACCTCAGCTTCTGCACGGTGCACGTTTAGAAAGCAGGTCTCCCCAAAGACAGCAAGAGATGATAGGCTCAGAATTAATGCAAACTTTTGCTACGTTAAGGCAGGCCCACTTCCTACAGGCAGCTTCTTCCAATTAGTCCCATGTATCCGTAAAGATCTCCACGGTCCCTCAGGGCCTGCAGTCTTACCGTCCCAGTAACACCACAGCTGTGTTTGAGCTGCCCATGGAGCTGGTCTCATTTGCCCTCTTTTCTCTACAAAATCGATGATTCCGGGTGTTAGTCAGGTTTGTGTTGCTATAAAGGAAATACCTGAGCTAGGTAATTTATGAAGAAAAGAGGTTTATTTGGCTCACAGTTCTGCAGATTGTATAGGAAACATGGCGCCAGATCCGCTTCTGGTGGGGGCTGCAGGGAGCTTCCACTCAAGGCAGAGGCGAAGGGGAGCAGGTGTGTCACGTGGCTAGAGAAGGAGAAAAGGAGGTGCCAGGCTCTTTTAACACAGTGACTGCCACACTAGAAAAAAAATTGTTTTCCTTGGGGCCATGGTGTTTTATTATGAAAATAGAACAAAAACTTCAAAAACCAAGCATTCCTTTCTGATGTAATGAAAGATTTGTTATTTTCTACTGTTTTCTGCACATGAGTTATATGCAGCTTGAAAAAATAATTCTCTCAACTCCCAAGGTGAAGAGACGTGTGAGTTACATATGCTTCATGAAGCCTCAGGATCAAAACTAATATGAGTTAATAAAGAAAACTCACTCATTACCGGGGGAGGTGCCAAGCCATCCATGAGGGATCTGCCCCCGTGACCCAAACACCGCCCACCTAGGCTCCATCTCCAACATTGGGGGTCAAATTTAAACATGAAGGCCAGGCACAGTGGCTCCCACCTGTAATCCTAGCACTCTGGGAGGCTGAGAGGGGAGGGTTGCATGGCGTCAGGAGTTTGAGACCAACCTGAGCAAAAGTGAGACCCCATCTATACTAAAAATAGAAAAAATTAGCTGGATGTGGTGGCACGTGCCTGTAATCCCAGCTATAGGTGAGGAGGCTAAGGCAGGAGGATCACTTGAGCCCAGGAATTTAAGGTTGCAGTGAGCTGTGATGATGCCACGGCACTCTAGCTCGGGTGACAGAGGGAGACTGTCTCAAAAAAAAAAAAATCTTTTAAATTTCAACATGAGATGTGGAAGGGCCAAATATCCAAACCATATCATTCCTAAAGAGTTCTAAAGCCAGTGTACAATGCTAAGGTGCAAAATGATTATTAATTACAGAGCTCTGACTTAAGATTTGAGATGTCCACTTAATGGCACAAAATTATATGCACAATCCCCATTAAACTGTGAGCTCCCTGAATAGGTCCTTAATTTTTATGTCCCTAACAGCATAGCACTGGGTGTGACTTTTATTACATGTATATGGAGGAAATCTATGTGTATTATGATTCCAGTGCTTTGCTTTTCATACGAAATCGCTCAGTTGAAACTTAATCTAAAATATTGCATTCTGTTCTGAACATCTTATAGCCCAAAAGATAAATGTAGTGTATGATCACAGTAATTAAAGAACTTAGAAGGGATGGCTTAAATGTGAAGATTGAAGCAACTCGAATATGTATAAAATCTAAAAATAACTATGGTACAACAAGACTCTTTTCAGTAAGTCCATTTCTAGGGGTGAGAACAAAGACAGAAACATATCTAGTTTAGGAGATTAAAAAGGAGTGATGGGATTAAATTAAAGTTAAGAAAGTGTAGGCAAGCTTTCAAGGTAAAAATAATGACTGTAAAAATCTAGCAGACTGTGAAGTCATCTTCTTTAGTTATTGGAGGCAAGCCCATCACTGTTGAATTTCAAATGACACCTGGAAGATCCTCTACTGCAGTATTCAATTCTCTGCCAGCATAGAACATTCTTCGGCAGTTGGGTCTTCAGAATAATTTATACTAAGTGATTAGGATTTCCCCCTATTCTGTGGGTAAAGTTAACATAATTATTTCACTTATCACTCTGAGGAACCCCAAAACACCAAAAGGCTAAATGATATGCCCAACACTACAAAAGACATTAACATGGCAAGGAAAGGGTTAGGAAAAGGTTAGAATTCCAAACTGCAAAGCACACATCTCGCTTCTTACCTCTATCTTTGCTAACGATGAGCATGTAATAATGTTACTGATATAGGATTTCCTGACCCATAGACCTACTCCAAGCATTACATACAGATAATCTTTATTTTCATGTTATTGACAAAGATACATAGATTTATTAAAACTCTTACCTCTTGCACATTCATATAGCTGAGATCCCCAGAACTGGTGTTTCCACTCCTTGGGGGTGGAGGGCAACATAATCTAACGTTTAAGAACCTGAGCTCCAAAGTCAGACAACCTGGGTTCAAATTCTGGCTGACAGCTTTCTAGCTATGCAGCCTTGGGGGCGTTACTTAGCCTCCGTGTTCTCTCTCCTCGTCTATAAAATGGGGATGAATCATAACACTTGCCTCATGAGGACTAAGCTTGGCACTCAGTATAGTTTGATAAAATTTCAGCTATGAAGTCCAGCACCTGCACATTTGGAAAAAGAATTTTCAGCTGTAATCCTTACCTTTTGGTGATTGGAGGCAGACATTCCCACCACTTGGGGACACTGAAATCTGACAGACCTTAATCCCTGAAATCAGTCTAGGTCACTGATCTCTTTCTTGGAGAAAGTCATTTTCCACCAAAAAGGTGTAACGGGGAAAAGCAGGAGAGAGAACACAGGGTGGACGTTTCCTGCCTCTGGCGGGTGGTCCGCCCGTGCCCGCGCCAGCCAGGGGCGGTCCAGGTTAGGCTGGCCGCGGAGAGGCCCTCAGGTCCAACCTTCCCTCGGCCAAATGCGTCAGCCAGGGGCTCTGGGTATTCATCCTCCCTGCCCCCGCGAGTGAGGCAGGAAGCAGCCTGAGGGAAGAGTAACGTCGGAGGACGGTGAGTGTCGGTCCCCACCTGCGCACCCTCAGTCGGCGGTGCGCTGAGAACCGCGCGGCCGAGGCGGAGAAGCGCGCGTGATCTTGGCCTACGCCGGAAGAGCTCCCTCGCGAGTCCAGCCCCGGCGGCGGTTCCGACCCTGCTCCGCAAACCAGATCTCAGAGCCAGCTGCTTTCGCCTCTTGCCTCTGCCCACAGCCATTGCCCTTTGACCCGCAGTCCTCTCCCGTAACTGCAGTGATGGCAGTAGTGTCCCCGCCTCTGGTCTGGCCCCACCCTGTTAGGTCGTACACGGAACTGCAGGCGAATCTTCCCGGAGCCCGGCCTGGCGGTGCCCGGCCCTGCTCAGAGCATCACCGGTTGTCGTTGTCTAGGGCGTCAGTTGGGGGATGGCCCGGGGGCACATTAGACCTTTGGAGGCGGCCTTTCCAATGACACCCACCCCCTGGAGATTCTCCCTAGCCTGTGCCTTCTCTCCCCATCTAAGAATCATGGGTCTGCAGAATAAACTTTGCATGACCCTTAAGGCCCTCCCTGAGCCAGCCCCAAGCTAACCTCACCAAGCTTAACCTCCACAACTTTTCCCCACAGACTCTAACATTAAACCAAATTGAACTACTCGTTATTCCCAGTGAGATCACTCACCTGCTCCTCCGTTTTGCCTTTGCCTAGAATGGCCTTCCTCCTACCGCCACATATTCGGATCCTCCCTCCTACAATGCTCAGCTCCAATGCTACCTCCTCCAGGAAGCCCTCTCTGATTCCTCCCTCTGCATGCCCTGCCCTTTTCCCTGAATCCCCACAGCCAACTTGTGTGGGCCTCTTTCTTGTGGCTGTGATTTCCTGTGAGAAGATCCTTCTCTCCGATCGGACCGTGAACTCCCCAAGGATGCCTCCCATGCGGGTGCATTCCCACTGGGGGCCCTCACAGGGCCTGACGCATGTCCTTTAGGCTCCAGGGTTTGTTAAATCAGTGAACAGACGAGACAACTGTTTATTGTAGTCAAACATACAGCAATCATTTAGCATGAGGGTTCCTGAAAATAATCAGGGTCCTATTTCTTTCCTTGCTATTTGCTTGCTGCATCCCATTTGTGTAATCGCATGCAGAGTCCAACGAGACGACAACAGGAAAACGCATCTTCGCTTCTCTCACAGGTTTCTATGAACTCTCAGGTTCTCGTTCGCCCCGTGTTTTCTCAGTCGTGCTACAGATTTTTAATACGTTCTCATTGGCTTATTCATTTTTCTTTTTTCTTTTTGCAAAACAAAACAAAAACCTTTAAATTTTGTCCAATAGTCCTAGGAAATTCTCCCTCTAGAAAACGTCATCTAAGTTAAAACAAGCGTAGGTTCCTGTAGTGAGTTGAATAGTGGCACCCAAAATGATAGACCCAGGCCCTAACCCTCTGTCTTCATTGGTTTGGACTGCTATCACAAATACCACAGACTGAGGGCTGAAACAGCAGAACATTTATTTCTCACAGCCGGGAGGCTGAAAGCAAGATCAGGTGCCAGCACTATCAAGTCCTGGTGAGGGCCCGCTTTTAGGTTGTGCACGACTAGCGTCCTGTATCCTCCCGTGGCAGGAAGAGCCGGCTGGGTCTCTGGCCTCTTCTTGTAAGGGCACTAATCCCTTGCATGAGGGAGCCCCCCTCATGGCCTAATCACCTCCCAACAGCCCCACCTCCAAATACTGTCACATTGGGATTAGGATTTCAACTTATGAATTTGGGGTGGAGGGAACAAACATTCAGTACATTGCACCCCTGGAACCTGTGAATGTGACTTTATTTGGAAATAGGGTTTTTAGATGTAACTGAGTTAAGAATCTGGAGATAAGATCATCCTGGACTTAGGGTGGTCCCTAAATCTAGTGACTAGTGTCTAAGAGAAGGGAGAGGGCGATCTGAGACACAGGCACAGAGACACTCAGGAGGGAGGGCCAGGTGAAGAGGGGGTGGAGATTAGTGCCGCCGCCACGAGCCTGGGGCTCGCAGAAGCTGGGAGAGGCAAGGAAGGATCCTCCCTGGAACCTTTGGAGAGAGCCTGGCCCTGCCGTCACCTTGGTTTTGGACTTCTGGCCTCCAGAACTGTGAGAAAATAAATTTCTTCTGTTCTGAACCATCAAGTTTGTCATACCTTGTCCTGGAAACTAATGTGTTAACACATTGCCTCAGTCCACAAAACGGCACCCTAACTCACTTCTCAGGCCCTTCCCTTTCCCTCCTCTTGCTGGGCTTTCCTCTCGCACCCCCCCCCTTCTGGTCCCTTTCTCTTTTCTTCCTGCTTCTCTCTCCCAGCCTCCCCTCAGCATGCCGGGAGTGGGGCACCCCGTGCCACCCCCACCCCGAGTTCTCCATGATGAAGGCTGGGTTTATGCTTTTTATGCTTCACACTTCACCGTGGGAGAGCAGGAACCTCTCATTTGAAGCAAAAGCCACAGAAAATAAGCAAATAACTGCACATCATGTCATTACTGAGTCTTAGCCCGCTTCCAGCCTGGGCCCCCTCACCACCACCGTCATTCGGGTCATCATCTCTCCTGATACCCAGTAATTTCAGACATTTTCTACATGCTTTTCTCTTGCTTTCCTGAGAATTCTCATTTTCTAAAGGAGAAAGGCCATGTCATCTTCCCTCAGCCTGGCTGGTGCAGGAGCTGATGTGCTAGGGGAGATTACAGTGTGACAAGGATGGGCCAGGAACGTGTCACCCCATTTTCAAGCAACCCTTAGCGGCAGGGAGTGAGCAGAGGAGACAACTTAGGGGAAAGAAGAGATTTCTAATTACTCCCTTCCTGCCCTCTTTTCTTCCCCTACAGCCTTCGAGGGCCCCTGGGTTTTCTCTCCCCAAGCTAGAAAAGAGATTGGTGAATGAAGAATAAGATGTTCTAGCAGCACATATAAAATGTCATTAAATGGCCTCGCAGGGCTCTGCTACCACCCCCAAACGCCATTCATAAATCACCTTGGACAGGTATGTGTGTGTGCACAAAAGTCCTCTTTTTGTGTCCTTTAAAATTTCTTTATCAAAGAAATACATGTGCAATAGTTTAAAAATCAAATAATATCAAAAGGCTTATTTTTTTCAACCCCTGTCCCAGCCATCCCCTCCCCAACCCACCGTGTACCTCTCCTCTGAAGTGACTGTTTTGAACTTTTTGAGGTATTTACTTTCATTTTTCCAAATGGCCTTACCCTGCTGTTTCTGATAGAAACATTTGAGACATCAGCTCTGTACCTTGCTGTGGTGCAGGAAGATTCAGCTGCTGTTCACCACACTCCCTGCGTGCCCCTCTTCCCAGCAATGACGTTAATAAAAAGACGACCAGCTCATATTTATAAAGCTGTCACCAGGCGTCAGGTGCTGTTATCTTCTGACATGCCTTTCCTCCCCAACACTGTGCACTCCCTCCCTCATGGGGTCTGTCCCTTCTCCCCACCCTCTGAAACACGGGGCGCCATCTCTCAGTCTTCCTCTCTTCTCCATCCGCTCTGGCGGTCTCACCAGGCTCATGCCTCCGAGTGTCATCCCTACACTGGTGGCTCCTAGGCTCCTATCTTCAGCCCTGACCCCTCCCCTGACCCAGACGCATGTGTCCAACTCTCTTGTGCACAGATAAGTTTATTCTGTTCTCTCAACAGCTGTACCTCCTGTACACCATAAAATTTCTCAATATTCTTACTCAGTAAGGACAGATATTCCGAATAGGTGAGACTTCTAAAGACCAAGAGAGAGTTGCCACTACCGCACACATCAATTTCCATTCAGTCTTCTTTTCTCTAGATTCAATTATCTCAACTCCTTTAGCTGTTGCATAAATGGTAACATGGACAAGCTGAATCAGCAAATTAAAATTTTTACACTCAGTTGTTATAATCTCAAATGAGATTTGTAATTGGCTCTTAAGGAATCAATTATTAATAGGCATTTCAATAACTCTCCTTCCACATTCAAATTGCTGAAGAGTTTGTTGTTGTTTAAAAAAGAAGCCTTTGTCATATCACTACTCATTTTCAATTTGTGGTCATTCTGCCTCCCTCAAGATCTTTATATGTCAAACCTTGGGTCATTACAGTCATTCTTCATTTTGTCAGTTTAATCAATTTGAAGGTCACATGAGTTTTATTGTAGAAAATAAATAACAATCCATTTTCATGTTAAAATGTTTTTAAAATAGTTTTTAAATAAATAGCAATTTGTCAAATCTGTCACTCCATAAGTCTAGACATACTAAAATTTTATGTTTTAAATTGTTATGATTATCTTTAAAAAACAAAATATCTTGAAATAGTTACATCACAAAGTATTAAATATCAGATATAGAAATTGCAAGATAAAATGTGAAATTAGTAAGGACAAGAAATTTTTTAAATTATCCTTCCAATTAGAAATTAGAACATTTAATGTTCATCTATCACCATCATTGTTATGTAGTCCCTGTAATGAATTGAATTCGAGTCTGGATCAATTGCAGCAGATAACATTTCTTCCATTTCCTCTTGAGAAAAAGGCTCACCTAGAGGGACACGAAGGGAAAATTATCACTTACAATCATCTTTTTTTTTTGACACAGAGTCTCACTCTGTTGCCCGGGCTAGAGTGCCGTGGCATCAGCCTAGCTCACAGCAACCTCGAACTCCTGGGCTCAAGCGATCCTCCTGCCTCAGCCTCCCAAGTAGCTGGGACTACAGGCATGCACCACCATGCCCGGCTAATTTTTTCTATATATTTTTAGTTGGCCAGTTAATTTCTTTCTATTTTTAGTAGAGACGGGGTCTTGCTCTTGCTCAGTCTGGTTTCGAACTCCCAACCTTCAGGGATCCACTTTGCCTCGGCCTCCCAGAGTGCTAGGATTACAGGTGTGAGCCACCGCACCTGGCCACTTACAATCATCTTATTCTTTTTTTTTTTTTCTTTCTCTTTCCACTAGCTTAATGGCCACAGAGCCACACAGGCTAGAAACAGTAACTAGTAACTGTGTCACTATTTACCCTCCCTGGAGCTGTACAGCCATCATATCATGATAGTCCAGACATTCAAAAAGCATGCTGTTAATAGCACAACAAAGTGACTATAGTCTGGCCAGGCACGGTGGTTCATGTCTGTAATCCTATCACTCTGGGAGGCCAAGGCAGGAGGATGGTTTGAGCTCAGGAGTTCGAGACCAGCCTGAGCAAACGCCAGACCCCCATCTCTACTAAAAATAGAAAAAATTAGTCAGGTGTGGTGGCACATGCCTGTAGTCCCAGCTACTCAGGAGGCTGAGGCAGGAGGATCACCTGAGCCCAGGAGTTTGAGGTTGCTGTGAGCTATGCTGATGCCATGGCACTCTAGCCTGGGTGTTTCCAAAAAAAAAAAAAAAAAGTGACTATAGTCAATAAGTATGGTTTAAAATAACTAAAAGAGTAAAATTGGAATGTTCCTAATACAAAAAAATGATAAATGCCTGAGGTGATAAGACACCCCAATTATCCTGATCTGATTAATTCACATTGTATACCTGTATCAAAACATCACATGTACCCTATAAATATATACAACTATTATGTACCCATAATAATTAAAATAAAAAATAAATTTTTTTAAGAGCATTCTGTTGTATACCCCGGAAGATTTTGGATTTATTTTACCCTGCAGAAATCATAGATCAAGCAACTTATATTAACAGAATCCCTCATTTGCACCAAAACAGCAGGAGTACATAAACACATCATGAACAAAATTGTTTATTTATTTAAATTAAAACTATTGAAATTATCAAAGGATTAACCTTTAGTCCCAGTTTTATAGGGGATCTAATCCTTATGGATAGTAAGAATTTGAAGAGACAATGAATGGTTGCTGCTATGCAAAATTTCCTAAGAGCAGATAACAGAGACTCAAAAATGTAACGATTGTATCTCTGGGGTTTTTTTGTTGTTTTGTGTTTTTTTTTTGAGACAGAGTCTTACTCTGTTGCCCTGAGTAGAGTGTTGTGGCATCAGCCTAGCTCACAGCAACTTCAAACTCCTGGGCTCAAGCAATTCTGCCTCAGTCTCCCGAGTAGCTGGGACTACAGGTGCGGATCACGATGCCCAGCTAATTTTTCTATTTTTAGTAGAGACAGGGTCTCACTCTTGCTCAGGGTGGTCTCAAACTCCTGAGCTCAAGCAATTCTCCCTCTCAGCCTCCCAGAGTGCTAGGATTACAGGCGTGAGCCACCATGCCTGGCCAATATCTCTGGATATTTCTTAACCAGGTCTGGCCAACCTAATGATGCCAGCTGAACAGTGAGAGATACCACTCATCAACTGTTTCAAAACTCCTCTTTGTTACGATTTGGCTTAGTGTTGGTGTCCAGTGAAACCAAAAGGTGGATAGAAAATCTGTGGGATTTAGTTTGGTTCAGATAATAGCTGAGGGCCATCTTGGAATTGGTTTCATTAAGATGAGAAGCAAACTCAGGAAGACTGTTGGAAAGGCTGTAGACTATTTAGGTTAGAACTTTGTCCCTACATTAAACAAAATAGAGAAATAGCCAAATCATCATCTTCTCCCAAAAGAGTCTTATTTAAGCAGGTGAGTTACCAAGGCTTGAGGCCTACCTACCCTAAGTCACCTGCCACTGCAAACAATGCTTTCTAAATTAGAATTCAGTTACTAATATGGAAATGATTCAAACAGGGATTTTGATGACACTGAAGATAGTGCTATCAAACAAGGGAATGTGCAGAGCTCTTTGTAATCATGCTTACAACCAAAAAAAAGAGAAAGAATCCCTAAAATGCTAAAAAGACAAATTCTGAATCTTTCTTACACCTGATTGTTAAATACTAAATCTACTGCCAAATGAGCTTCTATGTAAATCCTTAAAGAACACTAATAGCAAAAATTCATTGAGCACTACTGTATGCCAGGCACTGGCCTAAATGCCTCACATACATTAACTAAGTTAATCTCCCAACCACCTAATGAAAGGCAGGAACTGCTATTATCCCCATTTACAGCTGAGGACACCAGCACACAAAGAAACAAGGCAGCCCGCTCCAGTGAGTAAGTGGTGGAACTGGGCTCTGAAAGCCAGCAGTCCCTCTCATGGTCCATGAGCTAAACTGCCATAGCCCACTACACAAGACCTTGCTTGTAGTAAAATATAATCACACTGCTTCCTTGAGCAAGGAAAGAAATAAGTGGTATTTGATTAAGAATGGGAGGAAAATAGCTTAATGGTTAAAAGCACAAGTTTGGGAAGCCAGTCTGCTTGGGTTCAGTGCTGACTGTCTCTTACTATTAAATAGCTTTAAGATCTTGAGCAAGTCACTTAACCACTCTATACCTCAGTTTACCTGTCCATAAAAAGGAGATGATAATAATGCTACCCATAGCATAGCATTGTTAGGAGGATCAACTGTGTTACTATTTGAATAGCACTTAGAACAATGCCTGGCACATAAGTAGCAACATATAAATGTTTGTTTTAAAAATATTTGGGGGCTGGGTGCAGTGGCTCACGCCTGTAATCCTAGCACTCTGAGAGGCCAATGCAGGCAGATTGCTCGAGGTCAGGAGTTCGAAACCAGCCTGAGCAAGAGTGAGACCCCGTCTCTACTATCAATAGAAAGAAATTAATTGGCCAACTAATATATATATAGAAAAAATTAACCGGGCATGGTGGCACATGCCTGTAGTCCCAGCTACTTGGGAAGCTGAGGCAGCAGGATCGCTTGAGCCCAGGAGTTTGAGGTTGCTGTGAGCTAGGCTGACGCCACGGCACTCACTCTAGCCTGGGCAACAAAGCGAGACTCTGGGCCGGGCGCGGTGGCTCACGCCTGTAATCCTAGCTCTCTGGGAGGCCGAGACGGGCGGATTGCTCAAGGTCAGGAGTTCGAAACCAGCCTGAGAGCCGGACGCGGTGGCGGGCGCCTGTAGTCCCAGCTACCCGGGAGGCTGAGGCAGGAGGATCGCTTGAGTCCAGGAGTTCTGGGCTGTAGTGCGCTATGCCGATCGGGTGTCCGCACTAAGTTCGGCATCAATATGGTGACCTCCCGGGAGCGGGGGACCACCAGGTTGCCTAAGGAGGGGTGAACCGGCCCA